ATTGTCGCCTCACCGCACAGGCTCCATAGGAAATGAATGGAGAGCGAGCGACGTCGCCTCCCGTGTGTCGAGCCCTTATGAAACATCCATTTTTACCAACAGTGCAGTCGCTGTGTTGTTTGTTTGTGAGTGACATAAACTGCAGTGGGAKGGGGCTTACTGGGAAATATCAATACAATTTCTTTGAGTTTAGCAGCTTTTACTGTTTCTATGTAGTTACTGCTTTATATGCTTTCCCCAAACTTGAATTTAAAATGTTGGAATCATATTCGTGAGTATTTACGCATTAAATTGAAAAACAGCAGAGAAAAAAAAGAGATTTGTARGAAAGTATTGATACACTGAAATATCGTAATATTTCATTTCCTGATGCTGTATCGATTTTTATATAAGGCTTGAAGTGCTTGTGACATGCTTATCCTTCAGATAAAAAAAGTCAAAGAAAACTTAAGAAACTTGGCATACCACACATTATTTTACCCATTTGGACGCATGACTGGCCTGTTTTCTTTTGAACTTGGCTCGGCAAAAGAGAAACAGGACGTGACATCAAAGGGCAACTCCTTTAAGGAAAAGAACTCGCTGCTCTTTGTTTATTGAAACATTATTATTTGAACTGGGCTGTTGAGCATTTTAGCTCAGCTGTGTTTTCATGCAGACATTCCCCTTTGACATCACTTCCTGTTACTTCACATGCAAATATCTCAATAACTGTTCATCTCAGCAGCATTAAAATACTTTTRTAATATGTTCTCAGTGTKATCTTTCCAAAAATGCATTTGTATTATTACAAAAATGTTAATGTCACAGGCACTTTAACTGATGTTGTATAAAAGAATGTGAAATACAAATGCAGTTCTCAGTGTTGTTCAGTGTTCTGAATGCATAAACATAAACTAAATTAAATAGGATTTTAAGGCACGTAATGCATGAAGTTTTCTTTATAATGAGTTTTTAAAAATGTTAATGTTTTGGAGAAAACAATGGCGATAAATTGCCTTGCATGTATTGGGATATATTGTATCGTGTGTYGTGAAATACATTGTCAAACCCTTGTAAAAAGTACATTTAAAGCTTGTAAAACAGAACAATGCAGTAAAATATCTTATATAAACTAAAACTAAATGTCTTCATCGAAGTCGTGGTACTTACTCATCGTCCGGCGTTAGCTGCACTGGTTCGTTGGTAAACTGCGTGTCGAAGTTTTCCAAGCCGTACTCGTCAGAGATCTGAGGTTTGAAGGGCGGCGTCATCTCTTTCTTCTCCAGCTGAGGGGAAAAAGTTAAAACACATCAGAACTGTAGTGACCGTCACGTTAGTTGTTTTTGACTTGACAGTTTTACGTTGGGGKTTTTTTCTCAAACACGGAGCAGAATCCCCGAGGAAGCTTTGATAAACTTTTCTCACGAGGAGTTAAGGTAGTWCTGAAGGCAGTACCAGCCAGTTTACTGTGTTTTATTTTTATTTTTAAACTCTGCTGCAGCAGAAGGATCCAAACTCCTGGAAATCTGCTGCTGCAGAAACAGCTCCAGAAGAATTTGTCCTTCGTTTCACATCATTGATTTTCTTTTTCAAAGCTTCAAACTTTAGATAAGGATGTTATCCATTTTTCACCGTGACCTTTCTGATGAATAAAAGACTGAATCTGTTATGTTTCAGACTTTTTGAGAGAACAAATGTGTTACTGTGCTTGTATTTGCACAGAAATGTTGTTTTATTTTTTCATTTAAAAAGGAAAGGAAAATACCCCTCCACATGTTGAAAGAATAAACAAACAGCAAACTTGGAGTAATTACTGTAATATTCAGTACATCTGGTCTGAAGACTGCAGCTCTTTTCCATGATCTCTTTCTTTTTTGTGTGTGGGAATGACGGCAGGACTGTACCAGGGAGAGAAAAACAACAGAACGTTGAGGCTGCAGAATAATTGTGGTCGAGTGATTCAGCCAGCAGAGTATTTTTAAATTTTTTTTGTCTGGTGTGTTTCCATGGTTTCACATCGGTCCCTCACCCCGCTAAAATGTGATCCGAGGACGTTTTCTGAGAACACAAACAGGTACAGGTTTTTCTCCTTTTCTTGTTTGTTTCATCGGTTTTCAGAAACCTGATGGTGCGAGAGCTTTAAAACACAAAATCATCCGTTTAACTCTTCTCTTTTAAAACCTGTTGAGCTCAGAGATGCCTGTTTGATGCCTGTTTTAGAGTCGGTGCATTTTTGGGGAGATTTCTTCACACAAAAAGGTTTACATTTTAATTTAAAACATAAAATTCAAAACAGAAACCTACAGGTATGTTTATATTTTCTTGTCTTTTTAATAATAAAAACAGAATAAACTCAACTTTTAACAAAACTTAAAAAAAGATGCTTCATTAAATCCTTGAATTTTGGTAGAACTAAATGAAAAATAAAGATCAAATGCATATTTCCTGCCAAACAGTGGTGGGCAGCGCTAATTCTAAATTTATTTGCGCAATTTATAAAGTGCTAGTCAATTTATTTAGGTCCACAAGTTCAAAAGCGTATATCAAAATAACTTAATCATACATAACAAATCTGGTAACATTCCAGTGACACCATACGACATGTCACCAGCTCAATACTGCCAACCAGTGGAATGATATTTACCATTCATGGATTGGCACACGTCGTCGCAGTTTGGGGAGGTGATTTGTTGAAACAGACTTTTAAATCATRGTGTTAAAAAATAATAATTGTGGATTGCTAGTTCTGCTGCTTCTTGGTCATTTTCTTATGTTTATGGTAGGACTTCCCTAAGAAAACATGCAGATATATTAGTAATTTTAAATTGTTTATTTTAAAACTGAAGCGATGCATTCTGGGTAGCCTACCAGACAAAGGACAGGAAACTGTTCATTTCAAAATAAGAGCGTGAATTTAATCTTTTTCGTGTTTCAATGCAACGTGAGACAGCAGGTTGGTGAAGATGCAGCGGGACATAAATTATAATTCCTCCCTCTATCCTCCCAAAGCTCATATAAGTATATAAACAACAATATTGATAGCTGGATATTGTTTGTTTGTTTGTTTGTCACTCAGCTCCAACTGCTTCCTGCCACGCCAAGATTTGTGGGATCTCTAAATGAAAACCGTCACACAGAAGGAGAGTCAGTGAGAGTATAAAGCTCTATGAACACAATGCTGTCTGAGGGGGTCACTGTTTCCACACAGCGGAGCTCCGTTGTGTTAACAAGAGAYGGCTTTCCCTCCAATGTTCAAGAAAATGATGATTAAACTTTAATGAAATATACTGCTACAGAACGTAGTGGGTTTAATTGGCTCTCTCCTTTCTCTTTAGACCAAAATGATGATCAAATCTGAAACATTATTTGTAATTAGCGCTACTCAATTCTAAATTTAGAAAGCGTAAATCTGCACATCATTTGAAGAAATTAGTAAAAYCCCTAAAGCTCAAAGGAGAAATTTAAGTTCACAATTTAGGTCCCACCACTGCCGCCAACTTTCTTGTTTAAGTTTTAAACAGACTTTAGAGCTCAGCGTATGTGTTGGGCATGACTTTCAGCTACTACCACACCCATTTGTAAGTCAAAGTCTGCAAAACGGACGGTGTTGTAGCCATTTTCATGTTTGCTAATCTTGATTAGCCGTGGCGGCCATCTTGAATTAGATCGACTCAGTTGTAGATGTTCTGTCATTAAAATTTGACCACTGCTTCATGAGATATTTTGCTAACGCTAATGGATAAAAGATTTCACACTGAGTAGTTCTCAGAGTCTGATTTAAGCACGAGTCTCAGTGACTACCACATAAAGTTTTAGCTCAGCATCTCTAAAAGCGGCCGATTTGTAGCTGTTTTTGTGTTTGCTAAGGATGACTGGCTGCAGCGGCCATCTTGGTTCTGTTTGACCCGAAGAGACAATAATTATTCAGCTGTACTCAACATTTAGAAGAACAAAATACATTTTCTGCTCTATTTTAAATTMTTTTTCCAGAGTTGTAGCTGATTCCGTCAGTTTGTGCGGATTTTTTTAACCTCCCACCATGTTTGGACCACAGCTTCATATTGTTACCGTGTTATAAAAAGAAAAAAAAGTTTTTGGTTGCTCTTCTGGTTCTTTTTTATTTTTTATTTTTTGTCATGTTTTGGTGTTGTTGTGGAAAACGATCCCCGCCGATGAGCTGTGAAGTTCCCAGATGAAGCTGTAAAAATCTGCCGGCAGCAGCGAGGCTCCGGGACCGACGGCGGTTCTGACGTTCAGAACGAAGAGCGACAGAAAAAAGGTCAGAGCTCAAAGGGTTGTCACGTTTCACTGCAGGCACGAAGCATTCAAACAAAGACAAAAACATCTATATTACTTTATCAGAACAAACAAACGATCATTAAAACGTTTTAGTGAAGTGGAGCTGCGTTTATAGTACAAGTTATTTATTTACAGCTAGTTTTAAGGACACGTGGAGGTGTGCATCACTTCCTGCACAGCTGGACCAAACTGCATCTAGATCCTGAACAAACACCAAACATGGAGAATTCAAGAAGAATATCACTCCATACCCAAACCTCTCTAACCTGATCTGTGGAGGGGCAGAAGGTCCAAGAGACACTCTGAAACTCCTCCTGTGGGACCCCAAGGTGTTCCCAGACAAGAGAGGACCTATAATCCCTGCATAGTTCTCTGGATCTCTACCCAAAATACAACAAAATCATCGGCTCTAAATGGATCTTGAACTCTGCCAGGATCAAAATCCAAAGACTAAAGATGGGTCTCGATGGTCCGGAAACAAAAAAAGGTAAACTGTTCCATCCATCAACCCGATCGTCTCTGAGTTTTAGTTTGGATGTAGAAACTTCAAAGAGTGGTTGGTGACCAGAGAGCCCTGACTGGAGTTAACACCGGTATGATGGGGTCCGACTTTTTTAAACCCTGTCACACTAACGTTTAGGACAACTTGTCAACATTTTAAAGAAAACTACGTTAAAGATGGAATTTAAAAAAATCAACTGGAAGCCTCTTTTAGATGTGTGCATACAGTAATGCTAACAAATTGATCAAATACATAACTTTTATTAGTCTAAAACGTTAGCATGACAGGGTCATAAGCAGTAAAATCTTATAATCTACCCTAAAGCAAACGGAGCCAGAACTGGAGACGTGTTCCTGTTTTTAAGTCCCTATTAAAAGACGAGCTGCTGCTTTCTGGACAGCTTGTAAGAGATGCAGAGATTCATCTAAACCAACCTACAAAGCACAACAATAAGAGCATGACTCACTTTTTTCAAGGTCTGTGGGAGATATGGCTTCACCTTGACAATAAGTCTTATTTGGGAAAAAATAGATTTAACAGCTGTGTTTATCTGTTGAATCTAAAACCTCCAACCACCTCATCCAAACCTACAGGTGAGGGTTGGAACATGGAGCAGTAAATCCAGAGCTTTGCCTTTAAACTGAACTCATAACAGACAGGAGCAACGAGGCCCTGATCTCTGGATCCATCCTACAGGAACAAGACAAAACACCTGGACTCCTCCACCTGAGGAAAAAACTCCCCCTTAATCTGGAACTTTATGTTTTGTCCAATATTGTAAGAACTGTCACCATTCTGAGTCTCATCTAGTAGCACAACAAAGTTTGTCTTAAAATCTCTAAAAAATATCTGTAAAATTTATCAATTTAAAACCTTTTTGTGTTGGCTAAGGTTGCTTGAATGTGGCAGCCATTTTGAATTTGGTAGACTCCGTGACACGATCACTTTCTGGGAGTTTTATTAAAATGTATTCATTTTTATTAGATAATTTGCTAACAGAATAAACAAAAAAATAGACAAACCAAAGCTAAAATATCATGGCCCTTTCATCTTTCTGAAGTGAGCGACGAGAACCAGGATAGGTCAAATAAAGAGAAACTTACTTTTATCAGGGGATTAAAAAAAGTCACTGTGAAGTTAACCTAAAAGCCAAAGCTTTAATGAATCTAAACACCCCACTTCCTGTGGACCAAAATACGCTCTCATCTCGGCCCAATCTGGCCCCCGAGCCACCAGTTGTTGATCACTGCTTTAACCAATTAAAAAATAAATGAATAAATAAAAAATGTGGACTGTTTTCCATGTTTTTAAGTTTTAAATGTTTTCTCTGCACCTCCTCCTCTCATCTTCATCGCCTCCCTCGTCTTCATCCAGCGTTTCTCTCTTCATTCTTTAATTTCTTTATTTTTTCTTCCTACCTACGCTGCTGTCAGTTTCACCCCCTCATATCCTGTCTTCATCTTCCTCCTCCCTGCTCGTGTCTGA